GCTAGTAGAAGACTGACTTCCAGACAGCTAGGATGAAGGTCTTAAAGCCCATGTCCACAGTGACACACCTATTCCAACAAGGCCATACCTCCAATAGTGCCACTCCCTGGGCCAAGCATATTTAAACCATGGCAGGTATAAATAGAAGCTGGAAAGAGACTTGTGCAGGGTCCAGATTACTGTAGCTTCTTAGTGCCACAGGGCAGAGAAGAAAGCCAGTGTCCAGTGTAGGGCCCTTTGATATCCTTTGAGGTGGTATGTGTGTATTTGTGTGTGTTATGCATGAGTATGTATGTGTGTGCATTTCTGTTTGTGTTATGCATGGGTATGGGGAGGGGTGAGTGTGTGTGCGTGTATGTGCACTCACTATGCCTGGCTACCCATGGGCCTTCTCAAAGCAGTTTCATGGGGCCAGCTGGTTGTGGCCAGAAGGGCATCCCCAGAGAGAAGCCCTCAGCTTCTGACTGGGTGAAACTAGGAAGCATCTTCCCGATTTCCACAACCTATCAATTTGGACAGCTCAGTGGTATGGTTCACATCTCCCAAGGGTCCCCAACAAGATGTAATCCCATTGCCAACCTGTTCATCAATAGAGCCTGTATTTTTCCCTCCCCTCCGCTTCCTTTTCCTCCTCTCCACTTTTCTCCCCTGTATCTCCCTGCCCAGACTACTGCTTCCTGGGATTGATGTCCATATATATAAATTGTATTTAAATCCTTGTCTCAGGGCTGTTGCTAGGGACACCCAGTCTCAGGCAGGAGTACTTATAAATTGTGACAACTATGAGGAAGGAGACGGCCTCAGGACTGCAGTGTCACATACTGACAAAGTGATGACTGAGGTGACAGCTAAGGAAGAGCAAACAGATCATTAGGACAACACACTGAAGCATGGTAACCGGCAAGCAGGAAACGGAATCCAGCTTGACAGTGCTCAGCTTTCCACTACTGAGCCTTACAGGTGTAAGGAGTCAGAAACCAAACATGCTGATTGGTCAGGACATGTGTGCTGATAGACTAATGTCTCTTGAGTGATTTGAATATTGCTCTTGAATTAGATGCTTGTAATTTTTTTTTTCCAGGCCCATCAAGGGAAAGGAGGTGGTGCTGGCAGGCAGGCTGATGGAGCCAGACTTTGGAAGCCATCATGGAAATAGAAAGAAGGGGAGAGATTCAAGAAGCCATTCCTGTGTTCACGCTGCATAACCGACTGTCAGTGACTGTACTTAGTAAAGCCAATTTAAAAATTACTAAGGTTAGAGATCACAGCTCAGTGATAAAGACCACTTGCTGCTTCTGCAGAGGACCTGGGTTTGGTTCCCAGGACCCACAAGTTCCAGGGGACCTGATGCCCTCTTCTATGGGAAACAGACAAGCACACGGCACACATACATACATACATACATACATATAGAAAAAACATACACAGGTCCTCTTGGGCAACTTAGTGAGACTGTCTTTAAAAACAAACAAACAAACAAACAAACAAACAAACAAACAAACAGACTATACCTGAAATAGGTCCAAGAATTGTGGGGGTGGCATCTCAAGTATTGGGTCTGGTGCTTTGTTTTGGTTTTGTCTTTTTACAGGCCCCTACTGCTGCTCAGACTAGTATCCTGTTCCTGGTCTTCAGAGAGCCTCCTCTTCCACCCTCCTAGGAGCTGAGACTACAGTAATGCACCACTTCACACTGAGGCTTTTGTTTAAGTGCTGCAGAGTGCTGGAAACAGAGCTTCATGTAAGCCAGACAAGTGCTTTACCACTAAGCAACATCCTCAGCCATAAAACAGATACATTTTATGATGGAGTGGTCATCGCCACAAGATAGTACTATTTAGCCATAAAGAAAGAAATAATGTTACTTCTATAACATGAGACTTTTAAAATACTCTGCTGGGGTGTAGCTCAGTAGCAGTGTACTCAGTATGTGAAGGGTCCTGAGTTCAATGCCCAGTAGCGCCAAAATCAATCAACCCTCCAATCACACACACTGCAGATGTGAAATTGGCCAGGAAGCTGCCAACAGCAACTAACCATATATACAAGTTAGGGCTCGTCCACTAGAAAGCCGCTTCATACACACCCCATAGCACAACAGCTCTGCCTTTTACACCCAAAGTCTTTGTAAAACTTCAATATCTCATTTTTAAAGTCTCTCAATTGTGGGCTACTGTAAAATCAAGGATAAATTAAATACTTTTTTACTTCAAGAGGGAAGAACCAGGGCACAGTCACAATCTGAAAAATGCAAAATTAATTCCAGCAGTATAAATAGCTCAAAGTCCAGTATTTGGGATCAACTCACGATCTTCTGGGCTCCTCCAATGGGGCTTGGGTTACTTCTACAGCTCTGCCCTCTGCAATGCACACAGCTTTTCTTCTAAGCTTAGGCAGGGTCCACTCCACTGCTGTTGCTATTCTTGGTGGTCATCTCATGTACTACAGAAGTTCTGGGATGAGTCCTGGGGCTTCAACTGCTACTGAGGCTGTGCCGTCACCAAGGTCTCTTCTGGCCTCTCACTGTGCCAATCCTCTTTATGACCCCTTCAGGCCTTCAAAACCAGTACCACCTGGGAGACTCTTAAACATTACCAAGTTTGGCTGCCAGTACAAGGTACAACCTAGGCCACCTCTAGAACACAGTTCCCATGTGCTAACTCTCAGGAAATACTTCCCAGAAGATTTCACCACAATGGTGCTGGTCCCTTTTTTAATCACTGCCAGTTTATCAGTGCTAGCTGACCAGGATAATTATTCCAGCAAAGCAAATGTTTCACTTTTCCTAGTTCTGGTCTCTTGTTAACAATGGTTGATTCTTCAGCTCCAGCTTACTAGACACCATGTTGTTCCCACAAATGACCTAGTAGATTCTGCGTTTCCTTCTGAAATGTGACAAGCCAGGACTCCCTCAACTCCAGTGTTCTCAACACTTATACCTTCCAAGCTCCTAAAGAACAGAGAGCTCTCAACACTCAATGGCTCCCCTAGTCCAAAGTACTAATGTCCTTACACAATCCTCCCCCAAACGACATAGTCAGAGCTGTCACAGGGGTACCCATGACCTCTTTTATTTAGTGGTACTATTGATATGATGAAACACCTTGCTCAAAAGCAACTTGTGGGGGTGGGGGGAAGGGTTAATTTGACTTAGATCCTGAGTCGCAGTCTATTGTGGGAAGGCAAGACAGGAGCTCAAACTGGGCGGGAATCTGGAAGCAGGAGATGCAGAAGCTATGGAGAAGAGCTGCTTACTGGCTTGCTCCTCATGGCTTACTCAGCCTGGATTCTTATTCACTAGCATTCCCGGGGTGGGCCTACCCATGGCCCCACCCTCAATGGGCTGGACCTTCTTCCCCCACCAATCACTAATTAAGAAAATGTGCTATGCGCTTGCTTGCCTATAGCCTAACCTTTGGAGGCATTTTCAATTGAGGTTCCGTCCTCTCAAATGACTCCTGCTTTTGTCAAGTTGACATAAAATTAGCCAGCTCACTCACTGAGTCATCGCACAGGCCCTCGGAACCAAAGCTTCTATGTGGGAACTGGACTGAACCCGAAGAAGGCTGGACAGCAGAAGACATGGGGTTTACTTCCTTAGGGATGGAAGACTGGAAGAGGAGAGAAGATCCCACACGTTTCAGATTTCACATACTCCCCCAGGACACATGGTCTCCCCCACCGATGTGCTATCCTTTACTTGGGTGCATTTTCTCTATTGAAACTTGGGCTTAGAGACTTCTTCTGTCAGAGGCCTCTGCTTAGCCGATTTCTCTCTTTTCATTTTCTACAACCAGTGTTTCTCACGCCTAGCTGTCTTCTGCTTTCTTGTTTGTTTTTCCATTGGTGGAAAGTCAGGTAGGAAAACTAGACTAGAAGGGACTTGAAGCTTGTAACTTCCATGAGATGAGTATTTATCAAATCCCTTTTCCAGGCCAGGCTCTGATCGAGGAGGCTTTGGTGGGGAATAAAAGTTAGGAAGGGTTTTTGTCTGGTGGGACAAGGGAGGCTGTGCCCGTCATAATTGGTTAAATTTGGTAACGCTCTTTAGTGACTCTCAGTGGCTTAATATAAGTTTGTTACAGGGAAATCTGGCGTGGTGACTTATCTCTAACATCTATCAGGTAAAACCAGGACCTCAAAACCTTCTATCATGTTCCCTGGCAAATATACCCTCAGCCTCGACCACCACAGTAGTTAAAAACAAACAAACAAACAAACAAAAAAAAAACAAATACAAAAAGAAGTCTGAGGCTGTCCGGCTCTAGCCACCTAGACAAGAAATAAAACGTCATAGCAGCCCATTGGCCAGAGCTGGGCACATGACTCTGCCCTACCCGCAAAGAAAGCTGGGAAATGTAGTTGCCAAATGTAAAGCAGTTCGCCTCTAACACCCGCCTATACTGAGCAAAATGTGTGCGGCAGTCTCAGGCCGAAGGCAGTGTTCACAAAATACCCACACACAGAGAAGTTGGACTCAGTTAAAAGTTGCTAAAAGACAACTCCTTTAATTGGATAGTAATATTACCTAGGAGAACTGTGAGGCATAACAGGTGAACGTGTTCAGGACAGTGATCAGGTGACTCCTGTCAGTTTGTCCCTTCTTAGCTTGCTTCCCAGAACACATTCCAGAAGCCTCCTAGTTTTAGGATCTTGACTGTATCCTGATCCTTTGCCTGGTTCATGATAGTTTCACAGGACCACTCCTCCTGCACTCCCCACCCTAACCCCCCATTCTGGTAGACTCAAGGCTCCAGAGCTGGCTTCTCTAGTTCTTAACCGTTAATCCCAGCCAATCAAAGACTACAGAGCCAGACCCTTAGCCACAGTAACATTGTGTTCTGAGAATGGAAACAGGCAAGAGGGTCCTGATTTCCTCAGTTAAGAGGGAGCCCCTTTAATGTTCTCTGGGCAGAGCCTGTGCCTGGGAAGCCCCCACCCAAAAAAAAAAAAAAAACCCAAAAATAAACCTTAATCTAGACAGAAGAGCAGAGCAACAGATGACCTGGATATATTTTATTGTCATTGAGATTAACAACAGCAGGGTTATATACAAGATGTGACTCCCCACAGCCCCCAAGACATATCTGAATATCCCCCAAACTGCTCAGGTCCCCCAACATTGGAGGATGCACTGAAGTTATACCAGGTCAGTCTTGCCACAGGGGGCAGATGACAGAAGTTGGATTTTAACACCAAAACTTTTCAATCCAATCCTACCCTTTCTTAGGAGGTCCCTTAGGAGGTGTGGAAGAACCATCTTGGCCAGTGTGGAAGGGGTGTGAAACTGTGGGACTGTCAGGGAAGAGGGCCCCCACCCTCTTGCTTAAAGGGATAAATAGGGTTTTAACTTCCTGACTGGCTTTCTGAAGTCCCTGAAGTGGGTAAGGAAGGGGTTTGGGTGGCTGCTATGTACAAAGGGCCCAGGTTTCACATCTAATAGAGGAAAGCTGAAGGGAACGGACAGGGTACATGGGGCTTACATCATCCTAGACCCAAAGTCTGACTCTAGTCTTACTCCTCCAGGGGTTCCCTGTCCCAGGCTTCCAGTTCTGGGCTTTGCTTCGTCAGGGTCTCCTGGCCCCTGCTCAGGTCACCTAGAAGCTGGAGCAGGCCTGTTTGACCACAAATCCCCTGGGACCCACAAGGGTGACCCAATGCCCTTTTGCCAGGATGCTGGCGTTTCTCAGGCATGAAGACACCCTCTCCCTCTTTTTCTTCCCAGCTTCTTTGGAGCTCAGGATCTGTGAACCTCCGCCCTGGATGCTGCCTCTTGGTGACATCAGACTCCATCCAGGGGAAGGATCGCCTGCCAGGGTGCTGCCGCTTGACTTGGGGAACATCTGAGAACCAGGAATCCAGAAAGAAATCTGGTAACCAGGACGGTGGCAGCCAGTCACTGTCCTCCTCATCTGCCCAGGAATACTTGTCCTGGTTGGCACGTCGGCCGGGGTGCTGTCGTTTGTGGGATCTCCAGGCTTCCACGTCTCCCAAGTCCCCCCTCTCTTCAGCTTCAACATCTCCCTCCTCCTCCTCCCTTTTGCCTGGATGCTGGCGTTTTGTGATCCAGGAGTCTGGAAAAGGAAAAGCCAGTGTGGGAGAACCTGACCCCTTCACCAGGGACTCTTGCTTTCAGGTCATGTACCGCTCCAGGCTTCTAGTTTGGCATAGCACTTAGAGTAGCTCCTCCCTCCAATTGTCTGCTCCTCAGATCTCAGAGACACCCCTCACACCGATGGTTAAAGGCACTGTCTCTGGCTTCCAGCCCCAGCTCTCTATTTTCTTGTTGGGTGACCATAAGCCACTTCTTACTTATGTTCTCTGAATCTCAGTTTCCAGGACAAAATGGCAACATGTCCTTATAGTCAGGGCCTTAGATACCAGTGCTTAGTAAACAATAATTAAAGCTGTTATGGATAGGGACTATATGAAATTGTGACTACTGAGTATCTCTGCCTTCTGATTATTTCTAGCACTGAAATTATTGTGGTCCCAAGGGCTGGTCACCTCCCCACCCTATTGTGGAAGTGGCTATAAGGCTATGTGCTTCTTAAGTCTGGAGGGAGGCATGACAGGTGGCTCCCCCAACCCTCTCCACATGGCTCCCCTCCCCCTATACTTACCTAAGGCAGCACCGAGGTCCCCTCGCACCCGCTGGAGGTCTTTCCGCAAGAATCGACGTTCTGGCCGGACTTGGACTTTCTCCAGGTCAGGAAGGTCAGGAGTCATTGCACCTTCCTCCTGGGCTGCCTCCGGCAAGGCGCAGGATTCAGGGATACCAGTTAGGGTGAACATCAAAGCCAGAGCCAGCAGCAGCCAAGGTCCCTGCATCTTGGAGTCTAGGGTCAAAGGCAGTGGGGTGTAAGGGTAAATGCACCGCCTGCTCTGGGGTCGTCCCTTTCCCTTCCCCAGAACAAGGTCACCTGCCATCTGTGTCAGGTGCATCTGAGCCTCTGGCAACTCTCCTGGTCTCAGGGTGCCAAGGTGCCTATCCAAGATAGGAGGCAATAGAAACCCCACTGTTTCTTCCATCCCTAGCTGTCTCCCGAAGTTGGAGGAGTCAGCGCTGCATCTGACACCCTTACAGCCGTGTACCCATTAAGGTTGCAGTGCTGACAAGAAAAACAAAAAAAGTCATCGCGGCCAAAATTGTCTTCAAGGCTCCATCTAGATTCAAACCCCAGCCCTTCACCGCAATCTCCTTACTCCAGAGCTGAAATTCTTGCTCACATACACGAACTCCCCATGCAACCCTTTGCTCCCTTGTCTAGGCTAGAAGACTCTCATTGGACGCCCTCATCCTAATTCCAAAGTGAAGGTTCTATTTCTAACGTCAATGTACAACAGATTCGAACTCTAGGTAGGGTGGGTTCCGCCGTCCTGGTGTGGACCTGCTGGCCGACTTCTTCCATCCAGAGCTCCCAGTGCCCTGGCTAGTGTGCCCCGGGAAGGTGGCGGGGCAGGTGGAGGGGACACCTGTTTGGGATACCAGGTCAGAAGTATTACCTGCGAGGTGGAGACTCTGCAGAGCTTTCCAAGATGCTGAGCTGAAGAGTGCAAACTGCTGGGTAGAGCCTGCAATGCTCCCGAATCCAGAGTCGACTGCTCGCTCCTCTGAGGGGCCGAGGCTTATATGCGCTCCAGACGCCGGCGCCTGTGAGGTCAGCGGGGAGGGGGCGCAGGCCGAAGGCAGGGGCGCTGACGGCAGAGCCGGGGACCCGCCCGCTTTCCGGAAACCTGGTGGGGGCCGAGCGAGGAGGCGCGGCTGGCGCAGGTTGGCGCCTAGCTCCGGAGGTCCATTGACTAAGAGAACATCTGACTAGGGAACAAAGGGAGGGACAGACATCCCGAGATGGAAAGGAGACAAGAGTGGGGACCAAGAGACAAAAGTACGCAGACATCCAGAGACAAGATAGATGCAGGGTGTGGGCGGCAAAAGAAAGGACAAAGCATCTAGTAACACCTGGGCTTGACTGTCACTGGCCGAGTTCCCCTCCTCTAGTTTCCCCATCTGTGCAATGGGAGAGGGCAAGGCAGGAACTAGTTCCTCGATGATGGCCCTAAGGCTACAACTAGCTCATGGGGCTGTTTGGCTCAACTCCCACAAGGTCCTGAAAATATCTAAATAAACATCAAAGCTAGAAGGTAAGATCAAAATTGGGGACCTTGAGATGACTCGGTCGTTAAGGGTGTCTGCCACCAGTGGTGAACACCTGAGTGGATTCCAGGAGGTTATCCTATAACTTTTACATGCAGAGGACTGTAACGTCCACAAGCCTCCCACCTTAAATAAAGCAAATGCTTAATACAAATTAACAATAAAAAGAACAAAATTGGCTTCTCTGGAAAATGAGTGGTCCCGTGTATCTCCTTGACCTCAACCAGCTGGGACAGAGCCAAGGTGTTTTGGTGAAAATGCTCCCCACCGTGACTCCCTTTAGTCTCCCACTGTGCTACCTAGCCACCCCAAGAAGGATGCTAGAGCCACCTGTTAACTTCCTCATACTCTAATTCTTCAGTCTAAATAACCATTTAGTGTATGCCTGAGGCACGCTACCAGTCTTGGCAGGGAATTGCAAAGGCTTCTGAATGTTACTCCTGCTCCTGCTAGACAGAAGCCAGAACTTTCTGGGCATTTCCACACCTACCTAAGTCATCTCTTTACACCTTCCTGTCACCAGCAGGAGAAACATGACCCAAGGTTGGGAGTGACAGTCCCACTTTACAGATAGCCTGATGGAAGGGAGGCGACTGAAAGGCAGAGGTGGGAGGGAATGTTTAGATTTCAGCTAGAGTCCTGGCCTTAGTTATAGATGAAGATGTTAAGGGTCTGGGGGCACATCTGACCCAGCTTCCTGACCCCTGGGGAACCTCTGTGTTTCTGGGTTATAAGAGTGTCATCAGACAGATGAGAAATCTAAGACCCCAGTTTGACCCCTGCTTCCTAGCCAGACTCCAGGGTTTGAAGAATTTGTCACCCTGCCTGTTTCCTCCTGGTTGGATATGACCATGGCTATTCTGATTCTGAGCAGCTGTGACCACCCACAGAAGACCCTCGCCAACTAGGACCTGTTAATGTGTCCTGACTAGGGGCTGGAGACTGCAGCTGTAAGTTGACCCAGGGTACTTCCTAGTCACCCATGTAACCCCAATAAACTTGGTTCACACAAGCTAGACCTTTTTTTTTTGACCCATGTACCCTCTATATCTGGGGAGAAAGAATGATTCTCTCACCCCAGAAAAGGTCATGTGACACTAGCTAGCTAAGCCATCAACCTTGCAGACCTGTTCCCCCATGCAAGTAACAATGGACCCTTAGCCACAGACAGGAGAGCTTATCAGGGTGTTTCTCCCCACAGAGACAGTTCCCCTATACAGATTCTCAAGCCTGTGCTGGAGGAAGCCATTCAAGGATATGCCTTGCAGCAACGACTTCTAGAAGCCATGATTTCAAGCAGCTAGGTACCTGTCCATCAGGACGGGGCTGCTTAAATTAAGTGGGATCAATTCAAGGTGACTCTGGGGTTTAATATAGTCTTTAAGAGATGGAGGCAGCTCTGTGTGTTTGTGTGTGTGTGCGCACACAAGTGTGTGTGTGTGTGTGTGTTGGACAGTAAGCTACAAGATCCCATAAGTGATCAAAGCAGAGTGGAGGAAAGTGTGTGCATAGGACAGACCACCAGTGGATCACTAAGTCTCTGACATAGAGATGGGCCAGAGGAAGGGAAGGAGGGAGGGTGGATTACACACCCTCAGCATGATGCAGGAGGCTTGCTTTTGTTCACTGTTAGTCCTTAATGAGTCTAGATGTGTGTGTGTGTGTGTGTGTGTGTGTGTGTGTGTGTGCTAGCATATATCCATAGAGAAACAGCACCAAAAATCAAAACAATAACCACAATAGAAATACCTGGGAAGACAGGGATAGAAATGCTGCCTGGTCAAAGGCCTAGAAGCTAGGACGTGGCCCCCTGGTAAGCCTGTTGGTTGGCCAGGGTGGCTGGAGAGAAGAGAGGTATACATGCCTAAGAAGCCTCAGGAACCAGAGCAGATGAAACTCTCCTTCGTTTTGACACACTGGGCCTTGCTGACCTTGGAGAGGCCACCCCTCTAGACTTAGCCTAAGAGACCCTTTCATATGCAAAACGACCCAGACCAACGTTCTTTCCCAGCCCTGGCTCCTAGCACCCAGGTTCAGGTGCTCTAAACTACTTTCATCCACCCTATCAGTTAAGGCAGGTACTGGAAAACAACTATTGTAGAATTTATGCCCCAGCTCTGAAGTGACAAAAATTAGTCAATCCTATTGACACTGCCTTGACTAATCTTTCCTGTATTAGAAGTTGGCTTCTAGTCTGCATTACTCTCCACAACCTTCACCTTCTAATGAACCCTGGTACTGCCCTGTGCAGCATCTAGGGTGGGATGGGATGCTCCCACTCTGTTCTGCTCATTTCCTTGTATCTATCTATCTATCTATCTATCTATCTATCTATCTATCTATCTAT